TCAGCGCTGCCCCGCCCGCCCGCCTATCAAGCCGAGTAAGCGTGCGCCACCGCGCCAGGCACTGCGGAGCGCCAGAGGGAGGCGCTTGCTCGTTCCCCACGTTTATCCCATCTCCTTTCTCCCACTGCTGAGTCTAGGGCCGGAAGGCTGTGCCCTGCCTTTCCGGTAACATCCAAAGGGCCACTTGAAATCCGGGCTCCTCCCAAGGTGACATCGCCTCTTAGCTGGAAAGAGGCAAAAGGTGTTACAAGTACCAGGGGTGCGGGTTAACCTGGGGAGATAGCGATGTATTTTGCAGAGTGGGCCTGGCAACTTTAATGGCTGATGGCCCAACCTATTGCTAATGGCTGATGGCCCAACCTATTGCTCAGTGACTGGCCAGAGGATGCAGGGAGTCAAGGGAAGGCGTTATTACCCCCCAGGCCCTAGGATGAGCTGAAACAGCAGCTCCGGATTGGCTGGTCGTGGCAGTCAGTCTCCATAGCAACCACCTCCTGTCTCTGTGGCAACGGAAGATGGAGCGGAGTGTGCCAGGGAAAGCGGCTCCAGACAAGCTCCTGGGCTGAGCTGGATCTTTGAGTTCTAACTCGGCAATCGGCTTCCTTTCCTTCCCACTTCAGATCTCTAGGCCAGGGAAGAAAGGCACCTCACTCCATTCCCGGCGGGGCCTGTGCCACACCGCCAGAGATGATGCTTACCATTTCCCTCCCTAAAATGTTCTACTGCTTCCACTCTGGCTGTTGCATTGCCCAGTTCATCCCCCTCCCCTCCTAGTGCCAGGCACCAGGAGATGAATGAATGACACATTGTCATCTTTGAGCTGGAGTTGAGGAAATTTGCAGTTATCAAAGCAAGCAGGGAGGAAGCACCCAGTGTATAGGATCTTCTGGGTCTAAGGTCAGCCTAGGAAGATGGCCAGGTGCTGTTCCCCACTTCCTTGTACCCCACTCAAGGTGCAGCACTGCACACCAATGTACCCCTGGTACCCTTACCCACCATGTCCAAACATAGCTCAGCATCTCCTGCAGAACTGCCCCAACCCTCTTTGTTGCAGACAACCCACCATCTTTCCACCTGATATTTGCCTTCCTCCCTTTCCTTTATAGGACCTTTACCTCACCTCCCAAGGATCTAAGTTGTTTCTGCCTGTGAAGCTTTGTTGTTGTTGTTGTTGTTGTTTTTAAAGCTGAATTCTATCCCAACTGCCACTGTTCTGACTGCTCCTTTACCATGTGGCCAACATCACAGAAATCAGTCTATTTTGCAAAGCCTGATGCCTGTGGTGTATGGTCTTGTCTCTGCTTTTTGTTTGTTTGGTTTTATTCTTACTAAGGTCAACTATAAACTGAAGAAAACCTAAAGAACTCTCAAAGATGAGAAGACAGCCATGAGGTAGTGAGGAACCAGGTGAATGCCATAGCAGGAAGGCATCCTGCTGTGCCTCATTCAATGAGTGGAGGCCAGGTCTGGTGTCTAACCCAGCCTATCAATAGGAAGATTATGTAGGCTTCTTCAGCTCATAGAGAATCAAGGACCACCAACATCAACAGAGGCTGGGAGGACAGGGGACCTTCTGGACAGCATATTGGTTCCATTCCTAGCCCTATAGCAGTCCTGAGGGTGGGACACTAGCAGCAAAAGAAAATGCCACTCAGAAAAGACAGCCAGACACTCAGGGACATGGTGGATGAAGGAGCAAAGTATAGGGTCAGCCTCAGCTACATAGTGAGACCAGTGTGGACCTCATGTCTCATTCTGCCCCCTCAAAAACAAAATATAAAACCAAGAAAGCCAAAAAGCCAGGCATGCGAATTGGTTTTCTTTTTTTCTTTTTAATGTCAACTTCCTAAGCTAGTCATCTGGAAGGAGTAAACCTGGAAAGACTGCCTCTATCAGATTGCTTGTGGGCAAGGCTTTAGGGGGGTGTTTTCTTGGTGTGGGAGGGCAAGCTCATTGTGGGTAGTGCCATCCTTTGGCAGGTGGTCTTGGGTGGTAGAAGAAAGCCTGCCAGTGAGTAGCTTTGTTCCACCATATCTGTCTCTGCTCATACTTAGGTTCCTGCCCTGATCAGCTGTCAGCTGTGATCAGGACATGTAGGCTAGACAAGCACTTTCCTTCTTTTCTTCCCAAGTTGCCTGCCTGCCTGCCTGCCTGCTTTCTTTCTTTCCATCCTTCCTTCCTTCCTTGAGACAGGGTTTCTCTATAGAGCCCTGTCCTGGAACTTGCTTTGTAGACCAGGCTGGCCTCAGACTCAGAGATCCACCTGTCTCTGCTTCCTGAGTGCTGGGATTAAAGGTGTGTGCCACCACTGCCCAGTCAAGTTGCTTTTGGTTATGGTGTTTATCACAGCAATAGAAAACAAACTAACCTAACAATTGGTACCAGAAAATGAGTTTGTTGCTGTGACAGGCTGACCATGTTGTTTTGTGGGAGGATTGTGGAAGTATCTGGACCTTTGGGCTAGAAAGGGCCATTGGATGCTTAGAGCTTAATGAGCTGATACAGGAGCTTGGGAGACAGAAGATGGTGGCCTGGCTTGGGAAGTTCCAGAAAGAAGCAATGATTCTACTGGGATTATTTGTGTAACATTTGAATTAAGAATCTGTGGTTTATGCTCAGCTGGGACTGAAGAGTCAGCCATGATTTTAACAAGAGACCAGAAACACTGAAGTCAAACCTTTGCTTTACTGGGACAATTGTGAATGGTTAGCTGGGGCTGGAAAAAAACCAAAACGAAACAAAACTGTGATTAAGAGACCAGCATCATTGAAGCAAAATCTTCCAAGAAGTATTTTCTCAGGGTCAGCATACAGAAGCCACATGGCAGCTGAGCCTAGTTATGTGTAAGAGTATCCCACATGGCTTTGACATTTCTCTACTGTTACTGGAGACATGATGGGTTTATGAAGAGCAGCTGAGAACGCAGTGTACTGAAGATCCACCAGGTCTATGGGACCACTGAGACCAGCAGTGGGGCTGGGCGTGGTGGAGAACACCTTTGATCCCAGCACAGAAGGCAGAGGCAGCCTGGACTACAGAGCTACTTCTAGGACAGCCAAGGCTGTCTTGAAAACCCAAAAAGCAAGCAAACAAACAAGAAAACCCCCCAAAACCAAACCAAAAAACCAGCAGTGGAGGGAGTGGACTGAGTCTACGGGACAAACTGATGTACTGGAAAGCTCATGAGATGTCAGACTTTGAAGGCCTGCTGGAACCCAGATCACAGTGAATTCTAGACATTAGACACTGAACTACTTACACTGCTGATGTTTGGTTTTGCTTTGATCTGATTGTAACTATGCCCTGGTTCTTCCCTCTTGGAATAGGAAGTACGCTATTTTGGATTTTTACAGGAGCCCAAAGTTAAGAGACTGGACTTTAGTCCAAAAGGAACCAAGTGTTGGTGCGCACCTCTAATCCCAGCACTCAGGAGGCAGAGGCAAGCAGATCTCTGTGAGTTATAGGCCAGTCTGGTCTACATAGCAAGTTCCAGGACAGCAAAGGCAACACAAAGAAACCCTGTCTCAAAAAACAAAACAAAACAACCCAACCAAACAAAAAATATAATGGATACAAAATATATATCATGCCACCATGAATGCAAAACAGAAATCAATTAACAAAAAGACAATAGGAAGAAAAATTCATGCACAAAGCAGGGTCTGATGCTATGTCCATAATTCCAGTTCTTGGGAGGCAGAAGCAGAATTATACTGAGTTCAAGGCCATCCTAGTCTACATAGTGAGTGCCAGGCCAGTCAGAACTATCTAGTGACAACTAGTGTCTACAAACAACAACAAAACAAAACCCACAAAAAACAAAATTGGAAATTTCTACCAAAATTCTGAAGTGAAATTAATAAGTTTAAATTCCTTCCAGAAAAAAATATTTTGTAATTTGTTTTACAAGGCAGATAATAACTTGGCATCAAACTGAACAAATACACTAAAAATAAATTTTTGAGAAAAAAAAAGTAACCAGCCTCATCATAGAGCGAGTTCCAGGACGGGCTCCAAAGCCACATAGAGAAACCCTGTCTCAAAAACCAAAAACCTTGCCTTGTTTGGTGGGAGTCTGGTGGAAGCCTTAAATCTTCTTCAAACTCCACTGCCTACATGAGAAATGGTTCTCCACAACACCCTTCTCCTGAACCACTTCCTCCTGTCCTCCCTACCACCTAGCAGTCTCTACAATGGTTCACACCCTGATCTTTCACCAGGACTTCTCAGGGGTACGTTTCAGATATAATCAGTCTGAGACTTTGCGCCTGTTGTGAAGCAATGTGGTTTGAATGAAAACGGCCCCTCCAGTTGGTGGAAGTGTTAAGAAGTGTGTCACTGGAGCAGGCTTTGAGATTTCAAAAGCCTCCTGCCATCCCCAGTGTGTTCTCTGCCCTGCTGGGGAGAGCTCACTGCTGTTTTTGGTCCATCCCATCAATGATACCACATTGCTTAGACCAAGTGAGTTGAAGTTAGCAGCTACTCTGGGCCTGTTGGCAATGCTTATGTGCACCAGAGAATAAGTAGGATGTAACGCAACCAAAATTCAAGGGCTCAGACAGGACCCTCCAGAAGCCTGCATGTGCTTTGACTCATCATCCAACATATGGTACTGTTACTCCGATTACCAAGATTCCTGGGGCCAGCAACCAAAGGGTGGAAACGGTACCACCCACTGTCACTCCTAGTGACCCACTACAAAAAAAAAAAAAAAAAAAAAAAAAAAAAAATTTTTTCATACCCTGAAACATTGTGCTCTGCAGGCCAAGATATTTTGGTACCACAACAGGGAGTGCTTCTGCCCATAGGTACAACAAGCACTCCGCTGAACTGTAAGCTAAGGCTTCTCCCTGGCCATTTTGGGTCCCATTAAGAAAGCAGTTATAGCTGGATGTAGTAACACACACACACTTGAAAGGTAGAGACAAGCGAATCTCTGTTGAGTTTGAGGCCAGCCTGGTCTATATAGTGAGTTCCAGGACAACCAGTAAGACCTGTCTCAAAAATAAAAACCATCCCTCCCCACAGAAAACAAAAACAACCACCCAAACAAAACACAAAAAACCCCAGCCCCAAACAAAGGTAAGCAAGTTCTTGTGTTAGGAGGTGTGATTGATGCTGACCACCAGAGGGAAATTGGACTGCTTCTTCAAAATGGAAGTAAGGGTGTCGGGAATACAGAAGGTACTTTCAGGGGGACTTTGGTGTTGCCATGACTAAGTCCAGTGGGAAGTTCCAACCCAATCCAAGCAGGATGATGACAAAGGGCCCAGAGCTTTCAGGGATGAAAGGAAAGAACCAAGACCCGCTGAGGTGCTTGCAGAAGGTGAATACAGAATGGGTAGTCGAGGAAGGCAGTTACGGACACTGAAGGCCATGTGGTAAGTCACAGAAACAAGGATTCTGAGTGATTGTGTGTCTGTCTAGTTTGTACACACACAGACACACAGACGTACGTAAAAATACGTACGTACGTTTACCTTTGATGGTTAATTTTGGTTGTCAACTCGGTTGAATCTGGGACCAACTAAGAGACCCTAGACAAGTTGTGAAGCATTTCTGGGGATGGGAAAGACCCTCCTCCAGTGTGGGTAAAGACCAATGCCCCAGCTGTGCCCAGCTAAAGTGATAGGTGGCCTGGCAGCTAAAGTGATAGGTGGAATATCAGAAAGACCAGGATCAGAAGTTCAAGGTCAGCTTCCACCAACTACAAGTGCATGAGACTAAAGAGAAGGCACAGAAGTTAGTGCCCAGGGTTTCTACATGTAACAGACAAGAACAAGTAACACAGGGTTGCTCTTTCAGAAGACCCATTTGGTTTCCAGAGTCCATATCAGGCAGCCTATCCCTGCCTCTAAACCCAGCTCTAGATCTGTACAAACTCAGAGACACACATGCATTTATATAACTAATTTTTTTTTCTTTTTTTCCCCAGACAAGATTTCTGTGTAGCTTTGGAGCCTGTCCTGGCACTAGATCTATAGACCAGGCTAACCTTGAACTCAGAGATCCGCCTGTTTCTGACTCCCAAGTGCTGGGATTAAAGGTGTACACCACCACTGCCTGGCACATAACTAAAATTTAGAAAACAAAATAGGCTTGGTACAGCAGTACACTTTAATCCCAGCAGTACGGAGGCAGATGGACCTCTGTGAGTTCCAGGCCAGCCTGGTTTATTAGTAAGTTCCAGATTGACAAGAGCTACATAGTTCCCTTTCTCCAACACACCCCCACACCCCAATCTGACTAAATAGTACAGTGCCACTTGTATCTGTCATTCTAAGCCCTTGGCCATACACTAAAGAAACAAAAACTACAAAATAGTGATGAAAGCTATCAAGGACCTACAAAAATGAGACATGTTTGTTGATTGCATAATTCAACACAGTAATGATTTGTTTACTCAAATTGTTCCATAGAAGAGTTAGTGTAATTTCTACTAAAATTCCACGCTTTTGTAGATGCAAACTTACTAAAAACTTGGTGGGAAGGCAAAGGAACTACTGGAGCCATCTTAAATAGGACTCATTAAGCAATTTTTTGTTTTCAAGACAGTCTCACTGTATCATTCTGGCTGCCCTGGAAATCACCCTGAAAACTAGGCTGACCTTGAACTCACAAAGATTCATCTGCTTCTGCTTCCCAAGTGCTGAGATTAAAGTTATGAGCCATTATTCTCGGCTACTTCAGGCAGAAATAGCTCAAGCTAGCTCAAACTTGCAATCCTTCAGCTTCAGTCCCTGTAAGTGCTGTCTGGTCTATGGCTATTTTATAGCCATGATAATTGTATGTAACACTGCCACACAGACAGAAAGCCTATCAACAGCACAAAAACTCAGAAATATGCCAACTATTTGCAGAAGTACAAATACAAAATCAATGCAGAAGGCTTCTCAGATGATTCTGGAGCGCCTGCACGGCTTGAGGCCCCGCCTCCAAACCTTCACACAAGTACAAAGACTGGAAAAGGGAGGTGATTTCGGACATGCTTGAGGACTTGAGTCTGATACCTGAGTGCATGCTTGTGCTTCCAGCTATAGCAAGGCAGACAGGAGGGACCCCAGGGCTACCTGGCAAGATCCAAGCCAGTGAGAAAATAAAAACAAAGCTGGGTGGTGGTGGCACACAACTTCAATCCTAGCACTGGCACTTGGAAGGCAGAGGCAGGCCAGTCCTCTTGAATTTGAGGCCAGCCTGGTCTAGACTGAGTTCCAGGATAGCCAGGGCTACACAGAGAAACCCTGTCTAAAAAAACAAAACAACAAAAAAACCCAAAAACCAAACAAACAAAAAAGTGGACAGTGCCCGAGGAACAGCACTCAGGTTGGCCTCTGGCCTGCATACTCAGGTGCATATGAATACAGGTGTACAAGGAAGTTCTTCCATTGAAGATGATCCTTACCTCAAAGTGGATCAAAGACATAAAATTGTCAACACTTTTAGGAAAAGAATTTCAGGATTCTTAGGGGTAGGCACAATTCTTAAAAATATATATTTTTTTATTTTTTGAGACAGGGTTTCTTTGTGTATAGCCCTGGCTGTCCTTGAACTCACAGAGATCTGCCTGCTTCTGCATCCTGAGTGCTGGGATTAAAGGTATATGCCACCACTGCCCAGCTATTTTTATTTTATTATGTATATTGTGGCTTTGCCTGCATGTATCTGTGTGAGGGTGCCAGATCCCAAGTTATAGACAGTTGTGAACTGTCATATGGGTGCTGGGAATTGAACCCCATTCTTTTGAAAGAGCAACCAGTGCTCTTAACAGCTCTCTTCAGCCCTCTACGCACAATTCTTAAGACTTGACATAGAAGTACAATAAAAGTGAATCTAATGACAATTGAATCTAATGGAAATTTTACGCTCTGTAAAAGCGCAGTTAAAAGGACTAAAAAACCACAATCTACTGTTTGGGAGAAAAGTATTTGCAAATTGCGTAGCCAACAAAGGACTACATAATCTATAAAACAGAGGCTCAAGTGTAGCTCAGCAGCAGGGCACTTACCTAACAAACATAGATGCTGGGTTTGATCCCTGGCACTGGGAACAGCCAAACACACTCTACACTGCAGAAAACAGACAGGTATCAAATGTTCAAAAGGTGTTCAGAAAGATAACCAGTAACCAGGGACATGGATCCTAAATCCTTATCACAAGATGCCTGCAAGAACTACTTAGACAACAGAGGTCACAGAGCTCAGCAGTTCAGAGCTGCTGATGCTCTTCAGAGGACCTGACTTTAATTCTCAGCATCCACACCAACTCTAGATTTGATGCCTCTGGTCTTCATAGGCATCTTCACTCATAATGCATATACCCACACAAAATTAAAAATAAACCTTAAAAACAAATAGAAACACTAACACCACCAGTAAGATGTTAGGTTAGATGGTCACAAACTGAGATAACCTAGAAAATTCATTTCCCTAAATCCAATCCCCAAAGTCTACATCCTGATTCCTCCATGTAACATTCTTAGACTGAAGACAGTAACAGCGGAATTTTGATGGCTGTAGGTAGTTAAATCTGGGTCAGGTGTCTTGCCATCCTATGGTGGCAAGAACATCCTCCAGGTGACTTCTGCTAACACTGGAGTGACTTTGCAGCAGTCCTACCATCGAGGAAGCCATCTGAGCATTAACTGGTGATCACATTAGCTCAAAAGAAAAGCCAGTGGCCCATGAGGTTAGCAGCACAAACCTTTATTTCCTCACACACCAACAAGCCACCCCAGCTGGCTTGTCAGCATTATATTCCTGTCCTACCTCGATTCAGACAAGCTGTGGCCAGCTATTCCTTCCCTCACGCCAGTTCCAGCCACCTTTCTGCTCCACTCCACTTCACCTCTGTGGTAACGAGCAGGTGTGTGCAGGACAACACAAGTGCCAAGCCAGAGGACTCAGACTGATGTTTTGGGAAGAACGTAGAGTAGGATAAGAACCTCCTTTGTCTTAAGACTCCTCTTTGGGCAAGCCCTGTCTATGGGAGTCTCCTGCAGACACTCTTGCTCTTCAGGAACAAGGGCTCAGGCCTCCAACTTGAACTTGTGGCTCCTGAGTTGGCTGTGGTTAAGGTAGTCATAAGAGTGACAGTCTGACTATGGATCCTGTGGTATCAGCCAAATGGACTTTTTTCTTTTCCCAATGCTCCCACACCACCTGTTACCATGAGATACTCCCTAGTCACAGGGGCATGGGAAGGAACCACTCAGAACCGTAATTAAAACTCTGCTGTACCCTCCAAGCCTAGTCCGTTTCCTGGCAAGCTCCTCACTCCTAGAATCCAAGTGTCTTCCCATTCAAGTCCCAGTTTTTCTGTCTCTCAGGTCAGCCCTCCTCTGCTGTGCTGTATCACGCAAGCACTATTGGGGTGTTGGGGGAGGAGAGTACACTGGGTAGAATCCTGGAGAGCTAGGGAAGGAGATAGGGTCTGTGTGTCCAAAATGGAGGGGGGAGCGGTGGGGGATAGAGGAGATAAATACAGAGCCTAGGAGGATACCTGGCATCCACCAAAACCAAAGATTTATTAGGACCACTTGTCCCTTGGAGCTGCTGACCATCCACTGCTCTGACCAAGGTCCTATAGGGATGGTTCATCCTTTTAAGGGGTACAACTCTGGCTTGTCCAGCACTCACTGCTGGGTCACTGAGCAGCCAGGTCTCTGGGAAGCAATCTGAACTGATGGGAACGGTCATTTGGCTAGCTCCTCAGCCACTGCTTTTCGCATCTTGTCCTTGAGGTAGGCACCTTTCTGCCATCCAGACTTGAGATCCAGCCATTCATAATATGGGACCTGAAAGAAGGTAGTGGAGACGGTCACATGGACTGTGGAATCCTTTCCTGCCTTTACTGGCTAGTAGCCCCTCCCACTGTTAGTGCTCGTGCCTGACAGATTTAAATACACAACCCTGTCCTCAGGAAGAGCACAGGGTATGGGCCTAAGCAGCACATGGAGAGAAATCCTGGCTCTGGCAGGGGCAAGGAGATTGCAACCAGAGATCCCAGCAGGGCTTCCGAAGAAGATGTGACAGAAACTCTATACAGCCTGGAAAGCTCTGAGCCTTTTCTTTGCAGGAAACTCAGCACTTCACGTGCTATGGGAGCACCGAGGCACTTGTGTCGGGGCTCCACAGGGTCCCCGAGCAGCAGTCAGGTCTGAGCTCCAGCTCCAAAGGCAGCAATGGCTCCCATGGCTGTGCTGCACTCTGCACCTCCAGGAGGCAAGCTAAGCCTCTGTGTGGGGAGAAGCACCTGGCATAGGGCCCAGAGCTGGGCATCTGTCTATATCCCAGCTCTTTAAATAGGTGTGGGCTTCCTCCCTGCAGTGGTCCCTTGCCCAGGAGTTACTCACATCTACTACCAGGAAGCCTGCAGCCAGCACATGTCGGCGAGCCAGGACAAAACGGCCCAACAAGTCCTTGCTTCGGCTGTTGAAGTTAGGGAACTCCCAGCGCAGGAAAGCGATCCTAGCAGGAGGCAAGGGCACTTAAAGGAACGCTCTCAGATTAAGACAGGAGTTAAAAGACATTCAACAATAGCAGTACTGCTATACCTTTACCAGGACCATTACCAGGGATCCCTGGCCACCTACCTTTTAGCTCCTGGGGGCAGTGGCCGGTTCCCAACTGGCTGGGCAAGGTGAGGAGCAACAAAATCTCTCAGGGGCAGAAAGTGGCCATCCGTATCCAGGAGCACCTCTGCATCTGGGGGTGGGGAAGGGATAGGATGAGAACCTTCAGGTGATACCCTAGAGAGCCTACAATGTACACACAAACAAGCACTGGGGGGAGGTGCCTGCAGCTCTCTGGGTCCTTGCTAAGCCACGCAGGGGTTACAAAGGGCCTGTTAGGTTTAGACCCTTTCCCAGCAGAAAGGAACCCTTACCCAGCACCCAGCCATATTGGGTGACCACATCCAGCCTGCCCTGGTCAGTGCTCCCCAGCAGTTCCTTCAGTGTCTCCTGCAGCTCCTTCTGAAGAGGTGTCATCTGCTTGCTAGAGGATGAGGGACAGAGGGCTACAGCTGAGGCTGGCAGGAAGGGGCCTTTATATTCAGGGTGCTCCAGCAGGGCGGTGGTGTTGATGTGAACCAACTTCTGGAAAGTACTCTGGTCCTTTGGAGACTTGCTCCCTGGGGGAATGAGAGAAAAGGTAGGCTGATGTACAGCAGCAGATACAGAAATGGGGATCACAGAGAAACTGCATGGAAAGGCAGTGGCTCCCACCTAGCCTTGGGCTGGGGCTCCAAAGTTAACATCTGTAGGCCAACTGCAGGGAGTTTTTGGAAAAAGTCATGGGTGGGTGTGCTTTTGTGTGCTCTGGCCTCCTCCTGTCTCTGCCCCAGTTTCTTCCCTGGCTGGCAGACCAGAAAGCTTCCATGTTATAGTAGAGTGTGCATGCTTACGTTGTGTGCAGGGCAGAACCCTCACCTAGAAATTGTGTGTGAAGTCCAGGATGGAGAACTGTTTGCAGCTCTGCTTCTCGAACTTGCTGCAGCACACAGAGTGCCCACACCAGGTCCACCTGCAGGGTTGGCTCCAGGCTCCCCAGCATGGAGTCCAGCTTCTCATGCACCTGGGCAAGGAGAGTACAGTGGAGAAAGCAGGCTCAGCCCAGGGACTGCAACATTCTAGGAAAGCCTACAGCCAACCCCTGGTCTTGATCTGTCATATTAGAGCCAGAGGCAGCTATTGAAGAGCAAGACCAATATCCTGACTGGGTAAGGCCTGCACCAACCCCAGGCTCATGTGCAAGGAACCTTCCTCATGCCTGGAGTCTAGTATCCTGGTGCTATTTAGCTAGGTTTCCCACATCCTACCCACCAGCAGGGACCCAAGGCTTCAAATCCCTTGTGATGCTCCCCAGCTGGCACTGTGATGAAGGAAAAATTTTTGGCCAGGGCACCTAGGTGGTGACATAGCTGTTGCCCCTGACTGGCTGCTCTCAGAACCATACCAGACAATGCCCCAATAGTCTGCCTGTTTTGCAATGGTCTCTGGGATGTTTCCTATCCTCCCATGCCAAATGTTGTGCCCCCTCCTTCCCCCTGCCACTCCTAGACAGTGGCTTGAACCAGAGTTAGTGGGTCAGCAAAGCGGTAGTTCAGTGTGCATACCAATTTGAAGAACTCATCTTCTTGTTCAGGATGAAAGTTCAGACGGGCGAAAGCGAGAAGAATGCTGCACAGGTGGGTCAGGGAGACATCCTGGACTCTGCTCAGGAGATGCTAGGCCATCAGAGTGACAGGTAAGTGCCCTGACAGCAGCTGTCTCCTCCCCTCCCAAGAGCACAGAATATTCACCCAGCAGTAGCCTCCCAGAATCCAACTCCCTGATAGGCGCTTTAGGAACTCTCTCTAGGGACAAGTGAACACAGGCACCATGTTTTCATATAATTCCAAGCTGGAGTACAAAGATGCTCCCACCCCCACAGAGCTGCCCCAAGATGGAAACAGGACATTCAGGAACAAAACAGGTAACTGCTCAAGTACTTTTTCCACTACCATTAGACATTGCCTTCCAAACCAAATAAGAAAGTTCATTTATGACCCACAAAGGAGTATTCAGCTTTGCTTTGCTTCCATAATTAAAGCACCAATTCCCAACTGAGGCCTGCTGAGCCTCTATGCAGAGAGGTCCTAACTCACCTGAGTAAAGGCTTCAAATAAGGACAGGTTCAGCCACTTGAGGAAGGCAAAGGACTTGGTACAACGGGCTACCTCACCAAGTGTCATGCTGGGAACAAAGGGCAGGAGGTCAGCAGCCAGGCGCTGGGACACTTGGGTCTGGTGGAAATTGAGTTTACCTTTGGGATGGAGCAGACACCAGAGATTAGTTGTGGGGGAGGTCAATGCCCCACAACCACCTCCCTACCCATCTCAGACTTGACATCTAGGGGGCTTGGTGTCTGTGACTGAATTTATCCCCGAACCAAGCATGGGGAACAGGGCTCAGGAGTCACAGTTTCTATGGCAGCCTTCTGGACCAGTGCTTGTCATCATTGGGACAGGCACTGAATTTGACATGGCTGCAGATGTCCATGGCCAGGGCTCTCTCTTCTCACCATAGGCATAGGCCAGGTCCAGGAGCACGCCTTTCGTCAGTGGGAAGGGCTTCTGTACCAGGTGGTAGGAGATGGCCCGCAGCAGGGGCACCGACCGCCGGCTCTGTGCTGCCAGCGTCACTAACACCTTCCGCAGCTCATCAGGGCCAAACTGCTCCACCAGCTCCAGGCACTGTCAACCACAGCCGCGCAGGGATCAGCTGAGTTGGTTGGGATGAGCTGGGGGCAGGGGTCCCATCCAGTGCAGCCCCTGTGAGATAGCAACTGGGCCTGAGCTGACTCAACACAGGCCTGGCTGCACAGAATCAGCCCTATTTCCCACCCCAGGGATCCTGAACCCGGAGTACAATGTCTGCAGCCAAATTTATCCCTAGGTCCCAGGGCAGGGGACATAGGGCCCATGAGCAGCAGAGTTTGCTGTAGCAGCCATCTGGGCCAGCTCCCATCATGAGAAGACAGGAACTGAATTTGACTTGACTGCAGAGATAGCAACACGGAAAGGGCAGTGGACAGAGCCACCTCTAGGAGTTTTATCTAGAAGCTGAACTGTTCATGGGGTAGCTCAGGTCTAATAAGGATTCGTGTTAATGCCAGGAGCTGCCTGCGACACCTACTTCTTAAGCACATTTGGTTAGGTGTTGGATTTGTGCGGCCAGAGCTCTTCCCCACATGATGCCTGAGATTAGACAGAGGATTCCATGGCTCCAACCGCATTCCCTTTCTGTCTAAGGCTGTCACCCACAGAACAGGCCCAAAGTCCCAGAAGGTCTGTTCTCAGCACCATACCTTGTCTTCCAGGCGGTTCATCAGTGACTCTGAGAGGTGTCCTGCCTTCATCATCATGGTTACCACTGTACGGCTGTCATTGATCTCTGTCCAGCGCCTCTCCAGGTGCATCAGCAGCTCAGCCAGGAGCTCCTGGGAGTGCTGCTCCTGCATGTAGGAGGTACAGGACTCAACCAGGAAGACCAAGTGCTTATACTTTAACCTTCGCAGACGCCAGCGCACTTCCTGTTCCACGGACCGCAGCTCCTTGGACATCTGAGGAAGCACTAGTGTATACATGCTCCTCAGCAGCTTCACGAGGGTCCCATGCCAGATGGAAGAAACCTGCACAGAAAAGGACAAAGACAGTATGAAGCCAGTTCCAGAGGTTAATACGATATTCGGAGTAGCTACTCTCACCCCAGCCTCATAGGACCTGTTTCCTGAGCCTGCTCCTGCAGCTTCCAAAGAACCTAGTGCTTCTACTAGAGGCGGTCGGTCTAGGTAGTTTACAATGGCAAGGAAGAGTTCTAAGTGTTAAGAGAGATTCCCTAATACAGACAGATTCAAGCTGATGTGGCTGACTGAACAGATCATAGTCCCTAATATTCAGTCCTGGCATAGCCACATGCTGTGCATACTTGAGCTGCAAGCACAACAGATACAAACATAGATCAGAGACATGGGCCCAGGGGCCTTGTCTCCAACAGCAACAGTTTTCTTTGGTCAGTTTTGTTACAGACTTGCTTTCTGTTCACAATGACTATAAGTATAAAAAACCCCATGTCTTTTCTTCAGAAAATAGTTATTTTGAATCTGAGAGGCTCCAACCCTTCCACTTTTTAATCTGGTAACATAAAGTTGTCCTCAAATCTCAGGAGCAGTTGAGTCCAGATCCTGTTTGCCTATTGCCACCACCGTCTCTTTCTGAAGATGACACAGAGTGACTCGGGTCTTAGGAGCTATGGGAAAGGCCAACTGGGCTGAGAGCCCACCATCAGGGAAGATAGCAAATGGTGCAATGATAATGACTGTCATTACTTGTGCCCAGTCTCAGGAGCTGAGCTGGGAATGGAGAAACTGCTGCATGAAGGGCCGAGGAGGAAGGGCACTGCTGTTATCCTTGCCCCTGGGAGGTCTGGGCGCTTGTATCTCCTTATCCTCCTGGAAAACTCACCTTTGTACATACACACAGTGGGGGCAGCGATAGAGCCTCAAAGGATGTTGGTGTCTTAGGGAGAGATGCCATGCATCAAGGAAGCTCACTCAGATACTGTGAACACAAAGTGAGGACTTCCCAGGAGACCCCTGTATTTGCAAGCAGGCAGCCTTTAGAGGTGCAGTGTTCAAACCTTGACAGCAGTAAACCCCATCATCATTTACATTGTGAAGACTTGGTTTCAGGGCTGGAAAGGTAATTTGGAGGGCAAAGTGCTTGGAGCCAAGCCTGATGGAAGAACTGACTCCTGTAAGGTGTACTCTGAAGTCCACATGCATGTCATTTAAGACCACATAACCCCCTTTGTTTCTGTTATTGTCTTACTATTTTGTTCCAACATTGAGTCTTGTATCTTAAGACTTAAAACAAAAAAGAAACAAAAAACCCCCCACAACTAGAATGAAAATCTCAGACTAAGAGGCTTATTAAGCTTATTCATGTACTACATGTGCAGGAAGAAACACTTGAATCTGATGTGAATACACACAGTGCAAGCTAAGTAACAGGCTTAACCATGAGAGTATAAGGAGGAGCTCTTCCTATAATAAGTTTGAGGCCAGTCTGGTCTACAGAGCGAGTTCCAGGACAGTCAGGGCTCCACAGAGAAACCCTGTCTCGGAAACAAAACAAAACAAAACAAAAGGGCACAATTTTATTATAGTGGTTTAAAAACCCAAAGCTTTTAAAGCACTTAGCCCAACCCTTCTTTATCACTGAGATTGGGAATGAGGGCCAGTTCAGTCAGGGCAGGTTTGTACTTCCTTTTTATTGATGGAGTCCAGGCAAGCTCTGTGTGTAGAAGTCTTTCCTCATTAGGGACACAATTTGGCTGTAATTGAGTGCTGCTACAGAACCATGCCAACAGGCCCTTCTTTTCCTCATGCTCATCCTCTAAGGATCTGAATGTGGCTAGAAAACAGCCTCAGGTTCAGGGATCCACAATTAGTCACACCACTGCATCTCCTCTGACTTCAAGGGTGGTATCAGTGGGCAACCAGACACTGAGGGGTGGGGGCAGGAATGTAAGACAAGGCTCTGCTGTTGAGGAGAAAGCAGCAAAGGAACTGAAAAGAACCAGGCTCATCTCTGGTACTTCTGGTACCAAGTATTGGGTTGCCTATCTTTGACTCAAACATTTACCTAACAGGCTCCTAGGAGGATCAACAAAAAAGCAGTTATTTGAAATCTAGAATAAGAAAAGCCAGGAGCTCCCGTTTACAGCTGGTGCCAGTGGTGAGGGAGGGAGAAAGCCTACTTGCAAGGGTTCCAAACACCTGAAGAGAAAGGAGAGGGGATATCTTTTCCCTTCACTCACACCCCCAGGCAACATGTTAATGCTCACCTGACTGTCAATCCGACTGACAAGTTGCAGAAAGCGAGCATCCTCTACAAGCAAGGCCTTTTCCTTTGGCTTCTCAGACAGCAGATAAGAGAGCCGGATGAGTATGAGGGCCGGATGATTGCGGTGCAGGCTATAACCACCACCTAGCAGTTCAAGCAGCTCCTCTGGCCTGGTGGCTTTCTCAATAAGGTGGTCCACCTCTTGGTGCTCTGGGTAGGGAGTAAACACTTGCTCTTTTCCCAACAGCTCTGTCAAGGAACCCGAGGAGGGGGAACTGACTGAGGAGGTCAAAGTCTTACAGGCCACCCCAGCAAGTCTCACTCGGCCAACTGGAGTAATGGTAGGGACTAGGCGGGTAGTGTCTCTCAACAGGCACGTGCATCGCTTCATCAGGCGAACTGCCATGATGGTGGGAGTCGGGGAGAGGGAGGGAGATAAGACTCCTAGCAAGTGATTCCAAAGTCCTGAAAAGAGAGGGAAGAATTACATAAACTTAGAAGAAAACCATGACATGAAGATACAACTATCCTATACAACTGGCCTCAATCTTTCCCTGTTCTGAACACCCATTATACATGAAGCAGCACTTTCTGAAGCACAAGTCCTAAGTTTCTGTCAGACATCACAGCCAGCAGTCCAGCCTGGGAGGCGCCAGTCCCAGTTACACTTCAAAATTCACCCAAATCCCCAGGTCCCACTCAATGCTTCTAGATGCAAATCTGGGCATATGTGTCTTGCACAGGGCTAGGTTATTTTGTTTTTAACTTCAGAAATATCCAGGATCAGAAATTATTGGCTTAAAGAAACATGACAGGACATTCTAAGTCAGAAGGGTTCTGGGAAACCTAGGATACATATATAACTCATGCTCCTGAAATGTATGGGAAAATCTGTTGTTTTTTTTTTTTTTTTTGGAGACAGGGCGGGAAAATCTGTAAACACTACTGATACAGGTGTTAAATATGGACAGGTTGCCTCATTAATCAACCTGGAAAAAAAAGTCACCATCATCCCTTAACTTTTGGCTCTTTTTTGGGAGGTGGTTGGAGGTTGGGGGTCACTGGAGAGATGGCTTGGCTGTTAACAGCATTTTGTGATTCCCAGATAACCAAAATTCAGCCCCCCAGTATTCCCATTAAGTGACTCTCGCAACTGCCTGTAACTTCAGCTCCAGGGATCTAACTCTCATGTCCATGCCCACAGAGACATGCAAATAAACAACTGTTTTTTTCTTTTTAAAGACAAATATCATATGGCCCAGGCTGGCTACAATTATTTTATATAGCTGAGGATGACCTTGAACTTCTATTCCTCCAGCCTCCCAAGTGTTAGGATTACAGGCATCCTACCACTCCTGGTTTTAGGAACACTAGGCAAGCACTTCCAACTCAGTCACACTCCAAAACTTTTAAAAGCAAAAGCCCCTAACACCACCAGAGTCACCTTCTCAGTTTTTATCCAATCCCCAAAGTATAGGCTCTACTTTGCACTTTCATCCCACACTGCAAGACTTGCTACTGCCTTCATCCATAATCACAGGCATGGCAAAACATACTACCCTTTTTCAAGTCCTCCAAAACCTTACCTTCATCGAGAACACGCTACATATCCAAGCTTCTTTCAACAATGCTGCCCAGTCTTGTTCCCTACAGCCGGGTAGGAACCAGGTGAGACAAATTACTGGACTATTCTCTAGCCAAACCTGAAAACAACTTAAATTTTTTGTTTCCGGGAATCGGGTATATGACTAGCTTACTTTGTTACATGAGCAGATTACTGCTGCTGTAAAACGATTGGCTTAATTTACGGAGAAATAAAATATGGTTCAGAAGGGAGAAACCTGCCCGAACCCAATATCCACCACTTGCTGAACCCGGACAATGAGGAAGTGCTGGCAAACCTTACTGATTTTTAAGACATCTCTAGGAGCAATTTAAACCAAATCTGTGTTTAGGTAAATATCAACCCTGAAACCTAAAATGCCGAACCACGAAAACCCACTGGCCGGGGACCCCAAGGGCCACTGAGGGTAGCGTAATATTTCCGACTACGCCTCGTGGCCTACACGGGCAGCGGGGCGCGTGCGCAATGACAGGTCGGAACTGCATTTGCAACCGGCCAGCGCCCTTGGGTCATGGAATCAAAAGCCCCTTTCCAGCCCCGCTCCCCCGCACACACAACAGCCCGATTGGTCCTTACTGATTGCTGCCCTTCCCAGCCACCCTTTCAGTCCCGGGTACCCACGTCAGTAACCCAGTCTCTCCATGACGCGGGAATGGTGCAGCGATCACCCTCGCTGACCTCCATCCACCGAACCGCCTCCACGCGGCCCGGCGCGCTCACGCACGTCACCGGCGCGCCGCCGGAAGCGATGCAGTCGTGCAATGTCGGCCGGAAGCCACGCCCTCCGCCTTTTCTCGGCTCCGGTACTGGGAGGCCGGTGATGGGTAACTGAGACGGAAGGGGAGGTAGGGTATTCTGGAAGGCAGGGTTCCTCTGGTCAGAACTTCCTACATGTGCGGCGATTGGGTAGCGACTCTAACGTCAGTCCGTGCTGCCCCATTCCCTGGGACTTTTCACAGGCCCTGAAGGAGAGGTGAGAGTGTAGGCACCGGACCGTGGAGGTGACTTTGTAGTGTGGGGCTGAAAGGTGCTGCCATCCGGCGACTAGTCACAGAGAAGCGAGTTGTAAGCAGTTTGCCTAGATTAAACAACGAACTACAGACCACATACGATGGCACACCTATAAATTCTGTAATTTCAGCCGCGTGGTGGTGGCGTCACACGCCTTTAGTCCCGGCACTCGGGAGACAGAGGCAGGCGGATCTCTGTGAGTTTGAGGCCAGCCTGGTCTACAGAGCGAGTTCCAGGACAGGCTCCAAAGCTACACAGAGAAACCCTGTCTAGAAAAACCAAAAAAAAAAAAAATCCTGTAATTTTAGTACTGGAGGAAGAAGCAGGGGTCTGAGGCTAGCCTGTGCCAGAAGACTTGTAGCCCCACGTGGCCAGCAGAACTGATGCCAGCTAGGGGTACAAGAATGGGTCCATTTTCCCCAGCCAACTAAATAATTAAAAGACAGGAAAAAAAAAAAAGAAAAAGACAGGAAAGATGTGTTAGTAAGAATCTTGGGGAGTCCCAGCCGAGCCATCATATGGCAGCAGGGGAGTCAGGGTTCCTTCTTAGGGTTCTTACTCATTAATAAAAGAATCTAGGAGCACACACAAATGGAAGCTTGAGAGACCGAAACCAGGGCCATTTTAGAAAAGAGGGCCGGAAATAGAATATGGAATCTTTGCCCAATAACCTGTGCAGACTGGCTGACATTACTCATCCAGTTCCAGGAAAAGCAGGCCATCTGGAAGAACAGATACCCCGGGTCAGTCAACAGATTCACAAAACAACTTTCATGGACACATATTGCACCAAATTGATTAACCTATGGAAATTCCCCCAAGTTCCTCTAGACACCCCAAGCAATCAGCTTTGAACCCGTACCCCTTACCCTATTCTGTGGTTTTAGTCTTTATAAACCACTTGCTTACAAGGCTCAGGGCCTTCAGCTGCTGCTTCAGACAAGGTCACTGCCTAGGCTTGAATAAAGAAACCTTGTGCTTGCATTCCGGGAGTCGGCTCCTTGTTGGTCTCTCTGGAGGTCTTGTGGACTGGGTATAACAAAACTGAGTTCAAAAAAGAAAACCCCAGGGCAGGTGAGCCATAAATCGTGAAGCTGCCAGGAAGAGAGGAGGGGAATGGAGAAGAAAAGAAGAGCCATGCAGCTTGAGCTGGGCAGTGTGCAGGCCATGTGGTGGGGAGCCAGAGACATACAGCTTGAGATAGGGGTGTGTGGGTCAGCCACCATGACAGACAACCTTGTGATGGGGAGTAGAGCTTTAAGAAAGGAACAAGGGAGGCCAAAGCATTAGGGGGTTTAAGATAGACTGGTCAGTGTCTTTGCTAGGTTTGTATTGCTGTGATAAAAACTATCAACTGGACAGTGGTGGCACATGCCTTTAATCCCAGCACTCAGGGTGCAGAGGCAGGTGGATCTCTGTGAGTTCAAGGCCAACCTAGTCTGCCGAGCAAGTTCCAGGACAGCCAGGGCTACACAGAGATATCCTGTCTCAAAAACCAAACCAAGCCAAAAAACAAAACAAAACAAAACAAAAAACCTACAAAACCAAAAAACAAAACAAAGCAACTTGTTGGGGAGAAAAGGGTTTATTTGGCTCACATTTCTACATCACATACCATCATCAAGGAAAGTCAGGATAGGAATTCAAGGCAGAAATCTGGAGGCAGGTACTGGAGCAGAGGCCATGGAGGAACTGGCTTGCTCTCCATGGCTTGTTCAGCCTGTTTTCTTACAGCACCAGGATCATCTGCCCAGGGGTGACACTACCCTCAGTTGGCTGGCCCCTCCCACATTAATTATTAATCAGGAATAATGCTCCACAGGCTTGCCCACAGACCATTTTTGCTGTTGTTGGTTTTTCGAGACAGGGTTTCTCTGTGGCTTTGGAGGTTGTCCTGGAATTCACTCTGTACACCAGGCTGGCTTCAAACCACAGAGATCTGTCTGCCTCTTCCTACTGAGTGCTGGGATTAAAGGTGTGAGCCACCAATGCCCGGCTAGCTACAGGCCAATTTGATGGATTGTTATTTTCAGTTGAGGTCCTTCTTTCCAGAGGACGCTGGCTTGTGTCAAGTTGATAAAAACAACAACAAAACAAACAGCCGGGCATTGGTGGTGCTTCCTTTAATCCCAGCACTTGGGAGGCAGAGGCAGGCAGATCTCTGTGAGTTCGAAGCCAGCCTGGTCTACAGAGTGAGATCCAGGACAGGCTCCAAAGCAATACAGAGAAACCCTGTCTCTAAAAACCAAAAAACTCCCCAAACCAAAACCAAAACCAAAACAACAACCAAAAAAGCCCCAAAACAAAAAACAAACAAAACCAAACCCCAAACCAAAACAAACTAGTCAGCACTGAAAGAAAGACAAAGGATGACAAAGAAATAGCTCCACATTTCCTAGTCAGGTCTCAGGCCAACCTTTTGGGGGCTCTGATCTCAGGGACTGTCCTAGGGGGTGGGAATTCTGGGAAAGAAAAATGAATCTTCTTCTCTAGGGGTGGAGGAGACAAGGGCCTGTCTCCATCTAGACTGTGGCTGCTTTTATTTACAGAACCACACGCACCTTTGCAGCCAGCTGGGCACACTCACAGAAAAGCTCTACCTGTCATTGCCTCCAGCAAGCTCCAGCAACTCAAATCCACAAGTCTGCAGCCTCACTCTGTATGTATGGCACTTGCTTTTCTTGTTGCTGTGCCCAAAGTACCCAAAGAAAGCAAGAGGAGGAGGGAGGAAGGGAGGGAGGCTGGGAAGGGAAGGGGGGGGAGAAAGGGAGGGGAAGGAAGGAGGGAAAGGAAAGAGGGAGGGGAAAGAGAAGGGGGAGGTGGGGAGGGAAGGGGCATGGGAGAGAAGGAAAAGGGAGAGAGAAGGGAAAAGGGAAAGGAGGGGAGGGGGAGGGAGGAAGGGAAGGGAGAGGAAGGAAGAGAAGCAGGGAGAGAGGGAGGAGGGAAGAGTGAAGGAGGAAGAAGCGGTTATTTTGGCTCAGATTCGAGGGTACAATGCATCATAGAGGTGAAGGTTGGCACCAGGAGCCGACACAGCTAGTCACATTGATACAGGTGTGGATCTGAGTCCAGAGGTGCATCTGCTGAGATTTCCAGGTTCCTATGTCCCAGAATAAGGAATTGGATGAGAGACACTTAGATAATGCTAGAAATAGAGATGTTTTCTTGAGAAAAAAGAAAAGCAGCCTGGAGAGATGGCTCATAGGTTAAGAACACTTAATGTCCATGCCGAGGACCGGAATTTGGATACCAAGCATCCATATGGCAGCTCACAACTGCCTGTAACTCCAGTTCCAAGGGAACTGGCCTCCTAGCGCATGTAAATTTATGTAAACAAACATAACAAGTAAATAAATCTTAAAAAAAGAGAGAATGAGAGAGAGAGAGAGAGAGAGAGAGAGAGAGAGAGAGAGAGAGAAATATTCCTGAGAATAGAAGTGGGCTAAAGACCTTTGACAGGCCCAATATGTGCCCTAGTGGCTTGATCCTTTATAGGTCATTTGCATAAGTGCTACCTTCAACCAAGAGATCTCCCCAGTTGTGTTATATGCTGCTCTGGTGGGAAGAGGTTTCCAGTCTTTCAATTAACTGGCTTTTTTCATCTCTCTCTCTCTCTCTCTCTCTCTCTCTCTCTCTCTCACACACACACACACACACACACACACACACACACACACACAGAGCAATAGAAACCCTAAGACAATCACTAATTGAGAAACTGCCCTATAGCTGGATCTCATGGAGGCATTGCCTCAACTGAGGCCCCTTCCCCTCTGATGACTCTAGCTTGTGTCAGTTTGATACATAAAACCAGCCAGTACAGATGGGTATGAGAAACATTTTTTTTAAAGATTTTATTTATTTATTATGTATACAACATTCTGCTTCCATGTATATCTGCACACCAGAAGAGGGCACCAGATCTCATAACGGATGGTTGTGAACCACCATGTGGTTGCTGGGAATTGAACTCAGGACCTCTGGAAGAACAGCCATTGCTCTTAACCTCTGAGCCATCTCTCCCGCCCGAGAAACATTTTTGTTTTGTGTTTTCCCACTGAGGTAGATAGCCTAACAAAGACTCATATTTCCCAAGTCCCTTCCTTCCTCTTTATACTCATTAGCCAATTGCATCCAGTTAATTGTGATATGGATCTCCTACCTATAGGATGAAACACAGTCACCACTTACCTCAGAGATAATAGATAGAGGCAATTTTGGCCAAGAGTTCTCTTTATCCTGGTTTGGGTTCTGACATATATTTCTTTTTGCAAAAGAAAGTTGCCTTGCTGAATTACTTTTGCTTCTCTCATGTATTCCTTCGTGTGACATCAAGATGATTATTTTTGAAATGTAGGGCCTTTAGTTGGTGTTTTCCATAGCTGGTCATGTGGGGCTTCCGTAGGTTCAGATGGGGCTGGTTACCACAAAGACCAGGCATAGGATTAGTGGGCTCAATCTCCCAGATCTATTCATGACTTTCAGGTAAGAGAAAGGGGTTGGTGTTTGAATTCAGGATTGAATTTAGTCATCAATAGTCAGTGGTTTAATCAATCATGATTATGCAATGAAACCTTCCTGAAAGTTGTGAACACCGATGCTTAGAACTTTTGGTGTGTTTGGTAGGTGTCTGTCCCATAGGACAGACATTCCTACATCTTCCACTTCTTGGCCCCATCCTATGTCCCTTTCTTTATCTGTGTGGTGTTTTGAATAAGAATGCCCCCCAACTCCTCCCAGTAGGCTTATAGATTTGAATGCTTGGT